CCTTTATATACAACAATAATACGAATGTATTTTAGAAAAATATAAAATATGGTCGTATGTAGGGATGGGTATCGTTTGAAATGTATCGATTCCGATTCTTATCGATTCCCCGTTTCGATTCCAAAATTGTAAAATAAAGAGGTCAAACGTTTAGATAACAAAAATATATTTATTCTTAAAAGCTTTAACTGAAATTGTTACTAAAAAATATACATGCAATACAAATGTATTGCACAATAGCTGTGCTTTATTTTAACTGAGCTATGCCTGTGGCAAGCTATTAACAGGCATTACACTTTGCCTTTTATTTTTATTTTTTAGTGTAGTGGAGCCTCACTTCAGAGTGTTTACCGCGACCTATCTTTGGTGTTATGAAGTGACTGAGCTCGTGAAATGTCTACGGGAGGGCGGGGGAGCATCGCTGCGGGGCAACTGTGGACCTCTGTCGCCTGTCAGCGCAATTTATATGATGCCGTTTAAAAAAATGAAGGGCGGTGCCGGCCGTCAGCGTACCGAGCCGGCCGTCAACGGCCCGCTGACGACCGGCCATTCTGTGATTCTCCAGGTCCGCCCTGTATTCCACCGGGTCACCGCAGCACCGCGGTGCAGACGGACCCGCTGGAATACAGGGTCTACCGCGTTTAGGAACCGTTAAGCAGAACCGAAATTGTGTATTTTGTATGGGTACCCGGTACCCGGCATTTTCTTATCGGTTCTCATCTGGAACCGAGTTTCGGTTCCCAACCCTAGTCGTATGTGTTAAATACAATACAGATGTGGGATACTGAAACTCAGGTACTTATCGACCATCTTATAAATAAATAAATCGAATAATCAATCAATCAATCAATCAACAACTTTATTAACCCCGCAAGGGGCAATTGGTTATGAGCAGCAGCTGATGTCATGAACACAGGCAGGAACATACAAGAAGAAAACACACAGACACACCCGGGAGCACAGATGTGGATCATTCCAATTTACACTATAAATAGTTCAAAGCATCACAATAATAAATAAATAAATAATCAAGTTAAAAGCCTTTCAATAATTTAAAAGTTTGAGTGCAGAAGGGATGAATGATTTAGAAAAGCGCTTAGTCCTTTGATCAGGTAGAGCATATCTACGCCCTGAAGGCAACAGACGAGATTCATGTGAAAGTACACGACCTGGAGAGTACACGACCTGGAGAGTACACAACCTGGAGAGTACACGACCTGGAGAGTACACGACCTGGAGAGTACGTGACCTGGAGAGTACATGACCTGGAGAGTTCAGAATGCTCTCTGCTTTCCACAGAATCTGTTGGTTACAGAAGGAATTTAAGTCTCTCTGTTTCACGCCGATGATCTTGGAGCAGGTTTTAACAATGCTGTTCAGGCTGTTCCTGTCTTTCAGTGTGAGGCTATGGAACCAGCAGATCAAAGAAAAACAAATAAGGCTCTCAATGAATGCTTGGTAAAAACGACAAAGAATGAAAGGCCTGACAGAGAAAGAGTTCAGTTTGCGAAGAAGGTGCATTCTCTGTTGACCCCGCTTCAAAATACACTCAGTATTCACATCAAATTTGAGGTGGTCATCGAAAATGGTGCCCAAGTATTTGTATGATGTGACAATTTCTACCTTGTCATTGTGTATGATGCACTCCTTAGGAACATCCCTGTGACGTCTAAAATCAATGATCAATTCCTGGGTTTTAGAGACATTTAAATCCAGAAAAGTGTCATCACACCAGGAAATAAAATCGGCAAGAGCACCCTCCTGATTCTGAGCCGCTAAGGAGGGACAAGAGGGCGGTATCGTCAGAGAATTTAACCAGGTAGCTGTTGTCTTGCATGCTCCTGCATTTAACAGTGTACATTATAAAAAGTAGGGGCGAAAGAACGCATCCTTGAGGCGAGCCCGTGGAAGTGATGACAGAGTCAGAGAGGTGTCCATGACACCTCTGTCAACACCTTCTGCTCTCTATTAGTTAGAACGTTTAAAATCCATAAAACAAGTTGATCGGGCAGTTTAAAATAACATAATAGGCTCTCCACCAGGAGATGCGGCTGCATTGTGTTAAATGCTGAAGAAAAGTCAGCAAATGCCTGGCATGGGCTTGTGGCTTTTCAAGGTGTTTGTGGAGGGTGCAGTATACAAAGCTTTGCATCCTCTCCGCCTCTCCCTGCCTGATACGCAAATTGTAGTGGATCAAGTTCACCTCCTATTACTGACATGACAAGGCCTTTAACAATTTCTTGAAACACTTTCATTACCAATGACGTGAAAGCCACCGGTCTGAAGTCGTTTAGGACTTTAGGATGAGGCTTCTTAGGGATGGGAATTACAGTTGAGGATTTCCACATATCAGGAATTTGGCTATTCTGAAGTGACAATTGGAAGATATGCTGGAAAACACCAGAGAGGTCGCTAGCACAATACTGGAGTGTCCGCCCACAGATATGGTCAGGACCTGGGGCCTTCCTAATATTGACTCGTTTTAAGAGATTCCTAACATCATCCTGTTCAATGACTTTGTCTGAGATAGGGGAGAGAGACTCTCTAAGGGTTGAGGTGTTTATGGAGAAATCATTTTTCTCGAATCGAGAATAAAAAATGTTAAAAGCATTGGGCAGGTCTGCCTCATGTGTTCCCTCAATGTTAATGGTATTCCTAGCCCTGTCATTGTTGTTACCCTGGGAGATGGAGGACATTGATTTGATTCCCCTCTGGGCTTCCCGGAGATCTCCTCTGCTGTATTTGAGTTCCACCTTATCCCTATAAGCTATTCTAGCTTTTCTTATCTCATTTCTTAATTCTCTGTTAATTTCTTTTTTGTCCTGACTGCTTCCAGTATAAAAGATACGTTTCTTTCTATTTATAACACTCTTTAGTTCCTTCGTGACCCACGGCTTATTATTAGGGAAGACGGTAATGTCTTTACAAGGAATGTTAGACTCCACACAAAATAATATGTAGGATGAGACAGTTGACGTCAGTTCATTGAGATCAGAGCATGAGCTATAAAACACATCCCAATCCGTGCAGTCCAAGCATGCCTGTGAGGTGGCAATGCTTTCCTCTGTCCAACATTTCACAGTTTTTTTTTGTGCACACTTGTTTCCTGCAGATGGGTTTGTAGATCGGCACCAAAGAACGCTCGTGTGGTATGAAGCTCCAAAAGGGGGCATGGTCAGGGACTTGAACGCACCAGGCACCGTGCCGTAACATAAGTCAATAGTGGATGTATTTAAAGTTGTAGGACATGTGACATACTGCTCGTATGTTTTAAGGTCTTATGCACCTGACAGTGATTAAAATCTCCTAAAATAAATGTAGGAGCATCGGGGGAGAGGGAGTCCAGTCTGTTAGTAACTTCCTCAATCAGCTGAGTGGCTGCTGAGGCGTTCGCCCGTGGGTGAATGTAAACTATAGTAAAAAAAACAGCTGGGGGAACTCTCTAGGCAAGTAGAAGGGGCGAAGCGAAATGGATAACAGTTCAAGATCCGGAGTACATATTTCCTCCCGAACTCGTCCGCCCCCAGTCCTCAAATGTAGCAAAAATCAAATAAAAAAATCTCTTTTCAGTGATAAACGCTAAAAGCTCTACATCTTAACGTCAGATATAAGTTTCTCTGCTGCAGCGGTTTTCAGCTCCAGCTGCTTTTTTAATGCATGAACCTTTTTTTAAATGTGGTCAAAAGCACCTTTAGAGGCGCCTGTGTGAAATGAGATCTCCCTGCAGCGCTCGCTATCCGGTATCAGCTGAATAAACGGTGCTCTGTGGCAAAGAATAATCATGTGACGCCTCGAAGAAGTTACTAATGTTATTGTTTTACAAAAGAAACCTTCCAACATCAGGAGCTCTTTATGTCGAGCAAGAGACTCAAAGATTTCTAAATTTGACAACAATTATGTCAAATAAATCCTTAATTGTAGAATTATTTGAGCCGTTACTTCAGTATTTTGCAGGTTTCCATTCATGTAACCCGCATTTCGGGAAAATATGCTGAATTAAATGTTTGTTTTCAGCCGTGTTATATTTAAACAACACATTTTATTGTTTACATTGTCCACTTATGAATTGGACTTTATACGAACAGCAATGTGTGTGTGTGTGTGTGTGTGTGTGTGTGTGTGTGTGTGTGTGTGTGTGTGTGTGTGTGTGTGTGTGTGTGTGTGTGTGTGTGTGTGTGTGTGTGTGTGTGTGTGTGTGTGTGTGTGGGTGTGTGTGTGTGTGTGTGTGTGTGTGTGTGTGTGTGTGTGTGTGTGTGTGTGTGTGTGTGTGTGTGTGTGTGTGTGTGTGTGTGTGTGTGTGTGTGTGTGTGTGTGTGTGTGTGTGTGTGTGTGTGTGTGTGTGTGTGTGTGTGTGTGTGTGTGTGTGTGTGTGTGTGTGTGTGTGTGTGTGTGTGTGTGTGTGTGTGTGTGTGTGTGTGTGTGTGTGTGTGTGTGTGTGTGTGTGTGTGTGTGTGTGTGTGTGTGTGTGTGTGTGTGTGTGTGTGTGTGTGTGTGTGTGTGTGTGTGTGTGTGTGTGTGTGTGTGTGTGTGTGTGTGTGTGGTGGAAATGTACTGACCATAGAGACCTGACTGAGCAATGATTAACCTTCTCACTCTGACTGTTAATGGACCAAAACCTGTTAAAGTAATAATGACGTAAAGTACCTTGAAACTGTGCTTTGGTTCATGTACTTATTAATCAGAACTCACATTTGATTTGTGCGGCTTCTTGCAGTGAATATATTTAGTATGTTGTGCGTGTATTAAGGTAGTGAACAAAAACTCAATTGTAATGAAAATAATTATAATCAGAATAATAAAAAATAAATAAAATAATTATTATATAATAATAATAATACATTTAATAATAATACAATAAGTTAAATAAGAATAATACAAAATAAACTAAATAATAATACAAATATATTAAATAATAATAACAAATAATTAAATAATAATCAATACATATTGTATTATAATAAAAAATACATTTCATAATAATAATGTATTTTCTCTCCTAGGTCGAAATGGATTTTCAAGATAAAGAAATTATCCCTGGAGAGATTCTGCCTGTGGTGATCATCGGTAAGAAACACACACACACACACACACACACACACACACACACACACACACACACACACACACACACACACACTTTCCATCATACGAATGGAGAGCCTTAGAGCGGACGCAGCTTCTCACTGACTGACTTTGTTTCGCTGCGTATGTGTAATTTGTAGCTCAATATGAAACGGCACAATTCCCCTTTTTCCTACCTTCTCCAAAGCGCCTGAACGCAGCGCAAAGTCTCAGCTGCATTCCCAGGTAACGTTGAAGAACACACCTTAAGTGTTTAAAAATAAGAGACAACTGTGCTAAATATCATATTGATCTGTCCAAAATGATAAAAGCAGTTTAGTAGCATGGGATAGTTTCAGAAAAGTCATTGAATTCATCTGTTTCAAATAACATATGAGGCAGATGTCGATGTTGTTTAATGGACCTGCTCATAAACTGACTATTTCCCTTTGTAATTGATTTCTATAAATACTTTCCTTGTCTGTAAATGTGTTTTTTATTTTCACTGCTCTGTTGCGTCTGAGCTTCTGCTGAGTCGTTGCACAGGTGAATGTGAGTCAGAATGTCGCTCCGATGACTTTCATAACGAGGTTATTCAGTGACAGCGCTTACACAACCCTAACAGAGCTGTGTGTGTGTGTGTGTGTGGCCTAGCATTACCATACTTGTGGGGACCTAAATCTGTTTACACAGTCACGTGTGGGGACTCGCCTCCCTTATGGGGACAAATTGGAGGTCCCCATGAGGGGCATCATTAATTTTAGGGTGAAGACTTGGTTAGGTTTAGGATTAGGATTAGGATTAGGGTAAGGGTTAGGCATGTGTTGGTTATGGTTAAGGTTAGGATAAGTCTCCAGGAAATGCATGTAAGTCAATGTAATGTCCCCTGAAGTGATGTAAACATGGTGTGTGTGTTGTGTTGTGTGTGTGTGTGTGTGTGTGTGTGTGTGTGTGTGTGTGTGTGTGTGTGTGTGTGATGTGTGTGTGTGTGTGTGTGTGTGTGTGTGTGTGTGTGTGTGTGTGTGTGTGTTGTGTGTGTGTGTGTGTGTGTGTGTGTGCGTGTGTGTGTGTGTGTGTGGTGTGTGTGTGTGTGTGTGTGTGTGTGTGTGTGTGTGTGTGTGTGTGTGTGTGTGTGTGTGTGTGTGGTGTGTGTGTGTGTGTGTGTGTGTGTGTGTGCAGAGAGATCATAAAACTGATTTGTGGAAAAACTATAAATGGAAATATGTATTGCTCATAATAACAACATCAAGGGAGAAAAAAATTCCAATACAAATGTTATTCCTTAAAATAATAAAAAGGGATAAAACGTCTTGTGTTAAAACATTTATATTTGCTAATAATAATATAATAAAATAGATAAAAAAGCAGCGTTAACATGTCTTACAAAGACAGGTTTCTTACATATTATTATTATTATGACATTTAATACAATAATATGTATACTGAAAGTGTCTTAAATCCACAAATGTAATGCTTATTAGAAAACAAAATTAATCATGATTACATCTAGAAAAGCGGTTTAAAGTGTTAATTGTGACCGCAGCATCAGGTCTAAGACCACAGGACTCATTTCATCCCACAGGCCATAAGACGATTCAACACCTGAACACTTGAGAGAACATCCATAACATTCATCTGTTTCCAACTTAATAGTTATTTATCTATTATATCATATTGCAATTACTATTTTATCTGTGTTATAGTGTTGCCCAGTTGGAAGAGCCTATGACCTCAGATCTTCATTGACATAACCACACTGTAGCTCCACATGACAATAACAGCCTTGAACCTTGAAGCCTGCTGCTGTGTCTCTGAACTCTGAGGTTCAAAGTGTTAATTAACTCTCTCTCTCTCTCTCTCTCTCTCTCTCTCTCTCTCTCTCTCTCTCTCTCTCTCTCTCTCTCTCTCTCTCTCTCTCTCTCAGGTAACGGCCCCTCAGGGATCTGCCTCTCCTACCTACTGTCGGGTCGGACCCCCTACCTGTCGCCGGAGGTATCGCACCCAAACCCCCTGCTGAGCAGCAAACTGGGGGAACAGCCACATCTGTCACTGCTGGAGCAGGTAACACACACACTCACAAGCACACGCATACTCTCACAAGCACACCACACACACACACACACACAGGACATCGGCTAAACTGTTGTTCTTAAAATTGTTAAACATAACATCTGCAAAATGTAATGTTTGTTTCCAACTCTACAGTTTTGTTGTTATTGTTATAATACATATGTTATTGTTTACATTGTCTAGTTGTGAATTGGACTTTATACAAACAGTAACCAGCTATCAAATCTCTTTAGAATCTTTCATGTAAATATTTCCTTTATCTGCTGACTTATAGAGCAATATATTGTGTGTGTGTGTGTGTGTGTGTGTGTGTGTGTGTGTGTGTGTGTGTGTGTGTGTGTAGGACCTGGAGTACCTGTGTGAGGGTCTGGAGGGCCGCTCCTCTAACCCCGTGGCGGTGCTTTTTGATTCGCTGCTGCTCCCTGACAGCGACTTTGGTCTGGACCACTCGTCTCCTCTGGACTGGAGATACGAGCCTGAGAGATCAGTCCCTCACCTGGTGCTGGGGAGGGGCCCGCCGGGGGGCGCCTGGCACGTACGTTACTCTCAGTATCTATTAAAAATATAACTTGTACTATTTCAATATTCTTTGAAGCAGCAAATAATAACAAACAATATACAAAATTGAATAAAAGTGACAAAAAAAGTCTTGAATTTAAATCTAAATTGATAATAATAGTACTATAGGCAGCATAAAAAGACAAGGCATTGTACAAAAGAGAAATTAAAACTAGACTAGAAATAAAATAGCATTTAAAAAAAATATACATGAGGAAATACAAATTCTTGCATTAGCTATTTCGTGCTTATAATAGCAAAATAATAAAATTATAACAACTCCAACAGGGAAGAGAAGTGTTGCTTTGAAATATTTATTAAATACAATGAATTCAAAGAAAACGGGTAAAATTGTCTTCAATAAAAAAAATCATGCTTGAAAAAATATTATAAAATAATGACAAGAGATTAAAAATGTCTGGTTTTGAAATAATAACTGTGATAATAAAATAAAGGTAAAAAGTATTGCTTTGAATATGCAATACAGGAAGTATAGAAAAAAATACTTGATGGCATGATACGAAATAAATCAAATCCTATACCTGCTGTTTTGAAACGGCAGACATATCTTTCAAACATTTCCTGACGAGCTAAAACCTAATTTCACAGCAGGGTCTTTGTCCCGAGACTCGGCACAGGATATGGAAATGTGTGCAAATATTCTTTGTGTCGACATGCAGCCGTTTATTTGCACAAACTGCAGAGAGCACATGATGCAAGGGATGCAGCTTGTAAACACACCGTGTATTGCATGACATGAGACTGGACTTGTTTGTATAATAGACATTGACTGTGTGTGTGTGTGTGTGTGTGTGTGTGTGTGTGTGTGTGTGTGTGTGTGTGTGTGTGTGTGTGTGGTGTGTGTGTGTGTGTGTGTGTGTGTGTGTGTGTGTGTGTGTGTGTGTGTGTGTGTGTGTGTGTGTGTGTGTGTGTGTGTGTGTGTGTGTGTGTGTGTGTGTGTGTGTGTGTGTGTGGTGTGTGTGTGTGTGTGTGTGTGTGTGTGTGTGTGTGTGTGTGTGTGTGTGTGTGTGTGTGTGTGTGTGTGTGTGTGTGTGTGTGTGTGTGTGTGTGTGTGTGTGTGTGTGTGTGTGTGTGTGTGTGTGTGTGTGTTTCAGGCTATGGAGTGCTCCATGCTAACACTCAGTCTGGCTAACTGGATGGAGCTTCCTGGACTCAAACTCAAAGACTGGATGAGGGAGAAACGCAGGTCTGTGCACAGGAAACAGTATTTAAATAGACGTATAGGCCTATAACACTGATATTCGAGTATTGAGTGGTTATTACAGAACACATATAATATTGATTTAACCCTTCATTTGCCTCAGAAAGTATTAGTATATGCAGAGAAGCACTCAATGTACGCAGTTCCCCCTCACTGGATTTAAAGATAGATAGATAGATAGATGGATGGATAGATGGCTTTAAGATCCTAAACATATTTAGGAGGGACTTTATGTAACCAGTGTTAACCTCGGCAGGAGTTTGAATGGTTCTTACTGGTTTTTATCAAGAGCTATCCTCCACTTTGACCACCAGAGGGTGTCATTGCTGAGCTTTTTAACAATCTTAATTGTGCCTTTTGGAATGAGTTTAATAGTGACGTCTGCATAAAGAAGCATGAGACGCAGAGCATTGAGTTTGTGTTCATGAATACAATTTGTGTTAAATGTCACCGCACCTTTTTGTTTGTCTTTCAAAAATATTGATTTGATAAGTTGATTTTTATCTTCCAGGAACCTCTATACTTCCTGTTCAACTTGTTTAGACTTTAACTTGGAGTATTCCCACTAACATTACCTTTTCTAAATGGTTGTTTCACTGTTTCAAATAGTAAAACCACTTCTTAAATTCAAGTAAATATGTATTAAGCCTGTGTGTGTTAATGATGAATTAAAATCTGTGAATGTATCTTGTTTTTAAATATATTTCCTTGTTTATTTTTCCCACAGAAATGTCCGTAATGACCGAGCCACTCCCGCAGAAATCGCCTCTTACTACCAGCACTACGTTTCCCAGATGTCATTGGAGCAGAACTTCGCCTGTGGGACAACCGTAACCGGGGTAACCAGGCAGCCTAGCAACCAGGAGGGATCGCCGCCCTGCTGGAGGGTGACGGGACTGCAGCGGCGCGAAGGGGAGGAGCTGGGAGGTAACAATAATAATAATAATAATACATGTGATTTATATTGCGCTTTTCCTGGTGCTCAAAGCTCTTAAAGTACAGTTTTATAACTTTAATAAAACACCCTGGGATGTCTTTAAAAATATGTAATATATTTAGAATATTTTAAGCTTTTAGACACTAAATATTCACTTATTTTCATATCTATTAGCTTTTTTTTAAAGCTGTTTTCTGTATCATGCCCCCTTCCTAAACTTCTTTAAATTAGGCTATATTCATATTTTCGCATTACGTTGATTAAATAATTGTGTAATAATTTATATTGTTTTTATATTTTGTAAGTTCTCCCTGTTGGATGAAAAGTCCCCTTAATCAAACTGCTTTAAAAATATGATATGATAACATTATTTTCCATTGACATAAGGGTTATAATGAGTCTCATATTAACCCTCCACTTCCTGTGTCCTCCCTCCACTTCCTGTCAGATGGTTCCACTGTTTCCGACGAGGTTCCGTTCTCGCTGCTGGCTCATAACGTGGTTCTGGCGACGGGAACCCACGACATCCCAGCCCGACTGGGAGTCGAGGGCGAGTCGCTGCCCCACGTCTGCCACTCCTTCTGGGAGCTGGAGGCCGCCATCTCCCGCGGAGAGCTCGACCAATCATCGGACCCCGTGCTGGTGGTGGGGGCGGGGCTTACTGCGGCGGACGCTGTTCTGGCAGCCCATCACCTGAACACGCCGGTGTACCACGTCTTCAGACGCTCCGTCAACGACCCGGGGCTCATCTTCAACCAGCTGCCCAAACTGCTCTACCCGGAGTACCACAAGGTACCCCACTAAGACATCTACATTTCCTGACCACATGTCTGATTCGAAGCATTTTTATTCAGATTTAAAGAATAAAAAGGGCTTGTATACAAATATTTTATATTCACAATATTGTGCACTACATTACATTTTACATTACATTTTAAATGGGTTCAAATAGCCGATGCGATATTTAGAGAGCAGGGACACAAATTGCAGATATATTGATTTGTATGAATGTTTGATAAAATACGACAATTTAACAATAGAAAATAAACAAATTGCTCTACACGGAGTACCACAAGGTACCCCACTAAGACCCCGGCCACACGAGGACGAAAACGGCTAAACGCATAGGATTAACGCAAACGCAATCGCAAAAAAGCTTCCGTCCTCACTATTCACCGGATAGTGTCTGTCCACACGAGACAGCTCCGTTTAGCTCCAACCGCTGGAGAAGCTGCAGTACATATGCAGGAGCCTATACGTGGCGCTGTAACTTCCTCCACAAAAGCAGCGAAGAAGCATGGTGTCATGGTTGCCCTTCTGTTTATTCTCCGCGGTGGGGGCCGAGGGAACCGGGCAGAGTTTTTCGCCAGTCAACGTGTATTAAAGTTTAAATCTTCCGACAAAATTATAAAAGTGCCGGTCAAAGGTCTTCTTTGTTATTTATTGAGCTTTAAAACAAATGAATAATGACTCTATATAATATAATAATAAAATACACGGAGCCTCTCTTTTTCCTCCCTCTCTTCGGACAGCGCCAGTGTCTGTTTCATGCAGCAGCTGATCCAGTAATGAGTGACCCGGCCGACAGTAAAAATAAACATATTTATAACTAGTTTAGGTAGTTTGAGAGGTGTCTCCGTCCTGTCAGATTAGACTTCTCTCGCGTTTATGTCCATATCGAGAGAAAGATAAATAATCTGAATTCAGAGTGCAGTTTACTTTGACGCGGGGGTGAGCAGCAGAGGTGGGGAGAGGCGGGGCTATTGCGCAATCATTATCAGAAAATGATCGCTGAAGCTGCAGTACATATCCACAAAAGCAGCGAGTAAGATCCCCCTGGATGTGTAAGTCTGCTGTAGATGTTGCACAAAGAACTGTAGCATGGTCAGTAGCGTCCGGAGCACGATAGCAACTCTGCGATCCGCCATTGTTGTTGTTGTTGTTGTTGGTGGCGAAACACATCAGCAATGGCGCGGGGTACGCGGAGGTGAGCAGCAGAGGTGGGGAGAGGCGGGGCTATTGCGCAATCATTATCAGAAAATGATCGTATAGGGCGCACACACGGAGCTGTTTGACCCCCCAGAGCGTTGCGTATGCCGTTCTATCCACCTTGGGACCCGTTATCGTTTCCTCAGTCGTTTAGTGCCGTATGCGGTCGTCCTCGTGTGGCCGAATGGTCTATATGACACTAAACAGTAACGTAAACGGCCGTTTTTGTCCTCGTGTGGCCGGGGCATAAGACATCTACATTTCCTGACAACATCTCTGATTTGAAGCATTTTTATTTTGTGTTCAATGTCAGATTTAAAGAAAAAAAGAGGATATTATATATTCATAATATTATCCACTTGCTGAGTTAAATTGCAACTCAACATTACTCTTAGAATGTTTATTTTAAGAATTTTTTTTTTTTTTAATAAATAGCCGATGCGGAGATGTATAGATTAGGGCCGCCAACTGCAGATATATTGCTCTACCCGAGTAGCAACAAGTAAGGAGGTTTCACAATATGCAGGAACTTATCATAAAGACATGTGATGCATCGAGTATAAGAGTATACTCTGAAAGGAGAGAATTAAAGCCAGTTATGCAACTCGTCTAAATACAACTTAACGAAAAACACCAAAAATGTACTAAAACATCATCAACAGAATTTGAAGAAGTTACCATGTTGTTGTGTTGCTTACAGCATGCTCACTTCTTGTCCTGTAACACCACTTGTTCCTCTAATGGAGTCAATGGTTTGAGTCCAGATGGAGAAGTCCAGCTTTTAAAATTCATGTTTCTCCAACCTGCTTTTTTTGTTAGACTGACTATAGAGAAATTCCTCTTTCACTTTAAACCATCCATTTTCCTTCTTTGCTTTGTGGTATTAAAACCTGTTTGACACTCACTTCCTGTCTCCTCCTGCAGATTCACCAGATGATGACTCAGCAGCAGTACCAGGCCCCGCCTCCCCCTCAAAGCCACGCCCACAACCTGCAAACCTCCTCCTCTTCTTCCTCTTCCTCCCTTCCCCCTGCCTCCTCTTCCTCCTCTTACTCGGGATACCTCAGTTTCCCGCGATACAAAGTAGTGGCGTTCAGACCCGACAAGAAGTGCGTCCTTGAGTCGGATTCTGGCGAACGCACGGTTCTGCAGATCTCCAAAGCGCTGGTTCTGATTGGAGCTCATCCAAACCTCTCCTTCTTGCGGGAAAATGGCCGAGCACTGGGAATCTACCCGGAGGAACCCATTACTTGCCGAAGGAACCCCATAGACGTGGATCCGTTCACCAACAAGGTTCTGGGGGCGGAGGGGCCCGGTTTGTACGCCATGGGGCCGCTGGTCGGGGAAAACTTCGTCCGGTTCCTGAAAGGTGGAGCGTTGGCGATAGCGAGCGATTTAGCAAAGAGACATCGGGGGGAAGAAGAGGAGGACGGAGAGAAATACCTGGCGATTGACAGATTTATGGACAGACAGAAGAGGACGGAAAATGAGGTTCGGGAGTCGTAGCACGGCACAAAACACATTTTAAAACGAAAACACAGAAGAAAGGAAATCGAACTCGCTGCTAAATGATGATTTTAAGACGGGACTTGCACTGGTTTTGGGAAAGAATAAAATAACGCCTGCTCTTGAGAAACGTGGGTGTGGGTTGGACTCTGGAGCGAAAGACGTGAAATTCTTTACATTTACATTTTTATTCTGGAAAGGCTTTACTTTACCAACTGGATAAAACCCTCTATCATCCACTGACGTTGGGCTCTGACAGACGACTAAATGACATTTGGACATTTGTTATATTTGTGTAGTCTGTGAAACACTAGAAACAAAAACACCTAAAGCCAAACTGGTCTACCTGCAATGGGAAAAGACGCCTGTTTATCACTGTTTAAAAAAACCTGCATTTACGCACAAATTGACATGTTTACTACCTGGAAGTAGATCCTGGAGGTCGTGAACCCCACCCTCACTTTATGTGTTTTGATGATTGACTTTAGCCTCTTCCCCACTGGATAAAACACCCAGAACTGAGACATATAATAAATAGACACATTTTTTATAATTTATGACCTTTTTAAAAGGCTTTTATTTGTTAATGTAATCTCCCTAAAGCCCCCAGAGTACACTGACAGAAAATGTTACCGCATATAAACACACTTTTAAAAACTCTGTGACCCTAACCCTATTTCTATCGGGTGAATAAACACACATTTCTATAGAAAGGGTTATAGAGTCGGACAGGTCTGCATTTTGGACGATGATACGTATATCTGTATTACAACGCTCCGGTGTCCATATATTGGGCAATACTGTTGTTACTTATAGCACGTTTCCACTGCAGCGGGTAGCTCACTTTAAGCGTGCCGAGCCGTGCGGGGCCCGTTTTTGGTTGCGCTTCCACTTGGCCTAGTTTTGGCCCGGGGCTACTTTTTCACCTTTTTTCTGGCCCGACTAAATCGTGGTTCTAGGGCCAGGAACAACCAGGCTGAGTCGGGCTGAGTATGCTAAACTAGAGAGAGAATCGCTGGCAAGGGGGCTACAACAAGATGAACATATTTGACCGTGATTTAATTGTAATACACGTTTCAAAATGATGCCGAAGTAACAACACACTGATACCAGTTAGTAAAAACCATGAATTAATGCTTTGACAAGTCTGCAGACAGACGGCAGGCGAAAAACCCTTTAAAATGCGTGTTTTCTAAATGGAGCTTGGCTAAGCTAACGCAGTATATGCTCCGACCGTCCACACTCACAACAACGGCCTATACAGACATAAATAAACCAGCGACTGTATTCGCCATGACACAGGCAGTCTGTGGTTTGTACTTGTTTAACTTTTGTCAAGTTTCTGAACAGATATGAGGAGCTGTGAGCTCTGAGGGCTAAGAGCTAACGGCTGTGTTGTTTTTCTGGAGCGCTCATTGAAGATGACGTCACGGCTCCGCCTACACTGCGTTACTATAGTAACTACCCCAGTTCCTAAACTGTAATGGAAGCGCAGCATTAAAGTGAGCCGGGCCTAATAAGGCCTAACCAAACCGAGCGAGGCCTGCAGTGGAAACGTGCCAAAAAAAGGCTCAATGAGTGGAATTTGTCCCTTAATCTCATCAATTTAATTAATTAATAGTGTGTTAAATGGAAAACAAAACGTCTAATCTGACGTCTTCAAACATCTTGTTTGATCAGTCCAAAACCAAAAGATACTCAATTGAATCCAAAATGTAGAAAAGCAAGATATCTCAAAATGTGAGAGGCTAAAAAAACATATTTCTATATTTAGTTTTTTCATTAAATAATGACTTGAGTGATTTATTAATTATCTAAATAGTTAACAAATACTTTTAGTTTGATGCGCTAATTGTACTTTTTAAGGGAAATCCTACTCATCGTGCCTTTTTAAAAACAGTAAAACATGTTCTTTATACTCTGTCAGCGCCATCTGGTGGTCAAACGATGTAATGCAGACACCTCAAACACTCATCTGTAAATACAACATACTGTATAATGGAACCAGGTTTATAGTAAATATTGTAAATCCATTTCACTGTCAGGCTTATACAACCAACACGTGACTTTTTAACATGTAGATATGACAATGTCTCAAACTTTATTAGCTACTGAGGACGGACACAAACACAGGAAGAGGAGATGTTAAAAAAGTGTGGAAGCAAGGAAAGAATAAAGGCAAGAAGTGAAGATTTAAAGACAAAGTAATGGATGTAAAGTGACTTTCTTCTCACTCACATGGAGCCTGAATCACGACAGCCACTTCCTGTTTTCCACTCAGCATCACACTCGAGCAGCCTTTTTTATTTGTTTTAAATTCTGTATAATTGGGATAATTAGCATGTTTCTGTTGGAAAAGTGTTTCATTTGACACCGCCACATGTTTCCTTTGCTGTACACCAGCCTCCATGTGTGTGGTTGTTTATTATGGGCTTTCTGAATCTAAGGTGCTTTATTTTTCTATTTCCCACTCATGTCACCTGTACCTGCTTTTAATAACCTGTCATGTTTTTATCTTGAAAAGGTTTTATACTTCACAAAACAAAAGAGAAATGTATTTTTTTTTCATTGAAAATGTTGTAAAAAATAATAATATAAATCAGATTTACCACTTCTCTAGTAATAACTTACATTATTTGTTTTGGGTTTTAAAAAGTCAAGAGGATAATAATAATGCAGACCAAATTGAGATCATGTTGATTTCAGCTATAAAAACATTTTCTCTGTTTTTGACTTTGATTTTTTGAATACTTTATGCATCTTTTCATTTAAGTTTCATCACCAAGAAAAGGTTCTGGTTTGTTCAAACATTTGACGGTAATTCATAACTTATTCCTGCTAAATATAATACAAAATAAGGTTCATACTTTCTCTTATTCACTTCTCTTCTTCTTTCGTGTAACGTCAGAGGTCCATCTCAGTTTCGTGTAGCCATGCCCGCATCTCTGGTCCTAAGTCGAAGAGGCTGGCTCCAGAGGGTGGTCTATATAAAGGGTAGGTGGTGATTATGTGTAGGCAGTCTGTTCAGGGTCACCGCACTCACATGCAGCACTGTCGGCCAGGCTCCACTTCTTCATTGATGTTTTGAAGCGGCCTAACCCAGTTCGTTGACGGCTTAGTGTGGTCCATTGCCGGCGTGGTAGGTCGTCTCCTCCTATGGTGCCATCTCCTGGGTCCCAGATGTAGCGATGGATGCGGGAGCGCCCGGCTATCTCCCACTCCTGCTTCCAAGCAGCCGCCAACCATGCATCTCTGGAGAGGTCCTCAGATGTGGAATTGAGCATCTCTTGTGCTGCCTTGTTGAAGGGGAGGCGGAACTTGAGCCTACTTAGAGGCGCTGCTGTCGTTGTGGTGTTATGCAGGATGTGCCTTTTCTTGTGTGCTTTCTTTTTTGACAAACAGCTCAAACACACAAACATTTTATTTGTTTGCACTTCTCAAAGCAAAACATCTGTACTGTTTCTTTTTATTCCAGCATGGCTCTGCAGATTCAATTAGCAGCTACTCATCGTGCCTTTTTAAAAACAGTAAAACATGTTCTTTATACTCTGTCAGCGCCATCTGGTGGTCAAACAATGTAATGCAGACACCTCAAACACTCATCTGTAAATACAACATACTGTATAATGGAACCAGGTTTATTGTAAATCCATTTCACTGTCAGGCTTATACAACCAACACGTGACTTTTTAACATGTAGATATGACAATGTCTCAAACTTTATTAGCTACTGAGGACGGACACAAACACAGGAAGAGGAGATGTTAAAAAAGTGTGGAAGCAAGGAAAGAATAAAGGCAAGAAGTGAAGATTTAAAGACAAAGTAATGGATGTAAAGTGACTTTCTTCTCACTCACATGGAGCCTGAATCACGACAGCCACTTCCTGTTTTCCACTCAGCATCACACTCGAGCAGCCTTTTTTATTTGTTTTAAATTATGTATAATTGGGATAATTAGCATGTTTCTGTTGGAAAAGTGTTTCATTTGACACCGCCACATGTTTCCTTTGCTGTACACCAGCCTCCATGTGTGTGGTTGTTTATTATGGGCTTTCTGAATCTAAGGTGCTTTATTTTTCTATTTCCCACTCATGTCACCTGTACCTGCTTTTAATAACCTGTCATGTTTTTATCTTGAAAAGGTTTTATACTTCACAAAACAAAAGAGAAATGTATTTTTTTTCATTGAAAATGTTGTAAAAAATAATAATATAAATCAGATTTACCACTTCTCTAGTAATAACTTACATTATTTGTTTTGGGTTTTAAAAAGTCAAGAGGATAATAATAATGCAGACCAAATTGAGATCATGTTGATTTCAGCTATAAAAACATTTTCTCTGTTTTTGACTTTGATTTTTTGAATACTTTATGCATCTTTTCATTTAAGTTTCATCACCAAGAAAAGGTTCTGGTTTGTTCAAACATTTGACGGTAATTCATAACTTATTCCTGCTAAATATAATACAAAATAAGGTTCATACTTTCTCTTATTCACTTCTCTTCTTCTTTCGTGTAACGTCAGAGGTCCATCTCAGTTTCGTGTAGCCATGCCCGCATCTCTGGTCCTAAGTCGAAGAGGCTGGCTCCAGAGGGTGGTCTATATAAAGGGTAGGTGGTGATTATGTGTAGGCAGTCTGTTCAGGGTCACCGCACTCACATGCAGCACTGTCAGCCAGGCCCCACTTCTTCATTGATGTTTTGAAGCGGCCTAACCCAGTTCGTTGACGGCTTAGTGTGGTCCATTGCCGGCGTGGTAGGTCGTCTCCTCCTATGGTGCCATCTCCTGGGTCCCAGATGTAGCGATGGATGCGGGAGGGCCCGGCTATCTCCCACTCCTGCTTCCAAGCAGCCGCCAACCATGCATCTCTGGAGAGGTCCTCAGAGGTGGAATTGAGCATCTCTTGTGCTGCCTTGTTGAAGGGGAGGCGGAACTTGAGCCTACTTAGAGGCGCTGCTGTCGTTGTGGTGTTATGCAGGATGTGCCTTCTCTTGTGTGCTTTCTTTTTTGACAAACAGCTCAAACACACAAACATTTGATTTGTTTGCACTTCTCAAAGCAAAACATCCGTACTGTTTCTTTTTATTCCAGCATGGCTCTGCAGATTCAATTAGCAGCTACTTTACGGCATTTCCTTATAATAAACGTTCAAATGTTCAAGCGTTACACACTCTCTTGATCTCACTATTAAATACTACATTAGTATAATTAAAATTAACAACAACTTCAGTTTGTTTTGTCCAATTAAAAATCCAAATATATTCAGTGTATTATCATCATAACTCAAACGTGGGAAGCTGTGCATTCATATTTAGTCTAAAACCAACAATTATTTAATACAAATAGCTACTTTTAAGTCAATTATTAATTATGTATCTACAGGTTTCAACTCAACCACAAACCATATAGATGTTTTTATCAGTTAATGAAGAGAAAATCACCTTTTTTTAAATGACCATCCCATCCCACATATATAATAACTTAAAGGTCCCATGTCATGGCCATTTCTTCTGATCATAATTCCATTGTTGAGGTCTACTAGAATAGATTTACATTGTTCAATTTTCCAAACTCACATTGGTTTCTCATACAGCATCTCTGTATAGTATGTGTATTCACTCTCCTACACGGCTTGTTGGAGCTCCTGCCCCCCCCTCCTTGTGAGCCCAGTGTGCTCTGATTGGTCAGCTCGTCCACTCTGTTCGGATGAGTCCACCACCGTTACAGCTGGACATCAGTGATTATGTGTTACAATGGCGTTTGTTAGCAACCAGAAAATGACACCAGTAATAATAATAATAATAATACATTACATTTATAAAGCGCTTTTCCTGGTGCTCAAAGCGCTGACAAGCAAGTACAACAAAATAATAACAAAAGTAGAAAGTGCTAAGCTAGGTGGAATAAGGGAAAGGGGTTAGTTGATTAGGAGTTGAAGGCAAGTGTGAAAAGGTGAGTTTTGAGGGATTGTTTGAATGATGTGAGAGTGTTGGCGGATCTGACGTGGCTGGGGAGGGGGTTCC